AGCTAGTACATGTTAGGAAGACAAAGAATGGCTCTCTACTTCACAGGCAAAAAAATGCTAGGATTTAAAAACAAAAACCTAACAAAAATGCTATGATTTTAAGTTTTAAAAGTTCTGGAACTTAAATATCAGCTAGTCACATAAGGGAGAAAGCTAATCAGGAAAAGGAGACTGCAGTAGAAATGCTACAGGGGAACACAAGTGGGAATGAAATCCTTGCAAAGAGATGCTGAATATAGTGTGAAAAAGTTCTAGGACAAGACAAGTTACGATTTTACCAACACTAGTAGCAAATAAAACCTAAGGGTAAAAATCACAATTTAAAATTATTAACAGAAGACTTCTTTCTAGATCAAAGCCATAACTGTTATCTCATACTATTTTTTAAACAAGAGTTGATAAGCATATGCACTTTTAAAATGTCAGTAAGGACTATCCAAGTCTACCTTCTAAGGCAAAAAAAACTTCATACAGTAAAAAAGTGGAGGCTATTTGTTTTCCCCTAGAAACTAAAATACAGTATTCTCAGATATAGCCAGTGTTCTAAAAACCAATATGGTCAATCCATAGAATGGGACCAAATATTTTCAAATCATGTATCCCATATAAGAGCTGTATCTAGTATATGATAAGTAGCCAATAAGGACACAGAAAGATACTCAATACCATGATGAAAATGCAAATCAGATAACCACTTCACACTCCCCAGCATGCTGTAATGTAAAAGAGACAAATTTTAAGTATTAATGATGAGATGAAAGATGTGGAGAAATTCTAACTGTTGTACACGGCTGGTGGGAATGTAAATGTCAATGTACAGCTGCTCAGGAAAACAGTCTGGCAGTTCCTCAAAAAGTTAACAGCAGTTTGACTCCTACGTATATACCAAGATAAATGAAAATCCTGAGCATGAAAGTTTACAGCAGCATTGTGCTTAATACTCCCAAAGTAGAAAGAGCCCAAATGTTCATCAACTGATGAATGCACAAAATGTGGTATTAATCATAGAATACAGTATCATTATACAAAAAAATTAACTTAAACACTCATGCATGCTACAGCATGAACTGTGAAAACATTATGTTAAGTATAAATGTTTAAAAAAAACCCCCACGTTTTATGATTCCATTTATATGAAATATCCAGGATAGCAAATTTATAGAAAGATTAATGGTCAGCTAGGAAAGTTTAGAGAGGAGATGGGGAATCACTGCTAATGGGGTCAGGTTTATTTCCAGGGTGATGAAAATGTTCTAAAGTTGATTGTGGTGATGTGCATAATTCTGTTAGTATACTGAACAGCACTGAATCTATATACTTTAAATGAGTGAACGGTATGGTATTTTAACTGAAGTATAGTTTAGTGAAATATTCTAATTGTATAGTGAATTTTTTTTAGTGGAAATATAGTTGGCAATGTTACATTAGTTTCAGGTGTACACAAATTATTTATGTCTTAATGTGGTTTTAAAAAACCACTGTGGGCTACAAAGTACAACATGGGATACATTCCAAGACCCCCAGTGGATGCCTGAAATCACAGATAGTACTGAAACCGATATATACATGCATACCTATGATGAAAGATATTTGACAAATTAGGCAGAGTAAGAGATTAAGAACAACAATAAAACAATTATAATATATAACGATATCGTAATAAAAGTTATGTGGAATGTGGTCTCTCTCTCAAAATATCTTGTACTGTGCTCACTCTTCACCCATTCACCTGTGAGGTGAACGACGTAGGCACTGTGATGCAGCATTAGCTGGTACTGAGCTTCTGGCAATATATCAGGAGGAGGATCATTTGCTTCAGGACGATGGTTGACTGTAGAAAGCAAAAGTGTGCATAAAGGGGAACTGTACAACAAATCTAATCAAACAATTTTATTCTAATCCGTCTGAGGTAAAATTGCTTTTTTAAAAATAACAACACAAATTCAGTTGCCTCACCCAGTTCATTCTCCTCTGCCCAATAAAATGCCACACTTCTTGCCTCCTTTAACCAGCCGTTACAAGATGACTTCAGTACTATTTGAACAAAGGCACAGCCCAAGTATACTCAGGAGCCTGGGCGTGTGCAGTCTGGATCTGACCATCACCAACCTGCCTTTACTCAGGTCTTAACTACCCAAGAATGCTGTGCCCACCTGAGTAGCTTTTAAAGGAGCAATTTCAGATTTCCAAAACATAACGTAGATTTAACTTTTCCCAATTCCCTATTGCCTTCAACTTAAACCTCTTTGTTATTGAGTGAAGGATCTACATTCCTCGTATTTACACTCATTTTTGAGAAATGCCTTGCTTTCCACTATCAACAAACAGAAAAGCATATGAGGAAAATGGCTCAAGATTGGAGAATGACTTTCCAGTCAATTCTCTATGAACTGGTCAGAGTCATTATTTCATAAAAATAAATTTGATTGTGTTACGCCTTGATGAAAACCTTAGAGTGGCTCCATACTGCTTTTAGGACAAAATTCAAACTCCTTGGTAGGATGTAGAAGGCCAGCCCCAAATTTTGCTTACTTTTTCAACCTCATCTCTCATGACTCTTGGTCCAGAAAACTAGGCTGACTCTTACTCCCTGCCCCTGGGGCTCCTGGAACATATAATTCTCTTCACCTAGGACCCTCGGTTCAAAGCTGAGGACTCCTACAATGGTCCACCTTGTATATAATGATACCTGCTTATCTCACAGCTTATTTTCACACTGTACATGTCTTGCCCCACCACAAAGAACTCTAAACACTGTGGCTGCATCTTATTTAGGCTTTAAAAAGTGTTGGGGGGAGATAGGGAGACAAGGGGTATTAATCATGTCTTTATCTCAATCACCCATTAAAATTGTTGGCAAAAAAAACCAAAACAACAACCCACTTAATAAACATTTGTTGAATAAGTAACTGAGGAGGGACATTTGAATTGTGGAGAATTCCAAAAGGCAGAAAAAGCCAACAAATGAAAGGGAAGAGTTAAAGTTTTGAGCCTGGAGTATCTTGAAGAACTGAGGCTTTAACAGAAAGGAAGATTTAAGAAGATCTAGTAAAAGGAAATGAAGTAGTTTGGTTTTGGAAATATTTCATGCAGGGCGCCTGGGTGGCTCAGTTGGTTAAGCGACTGCCTTCGGCTCGGGTCATGATCCCAGGGTCCTGGGATCGAGCCCCACATGGGGCTCCCTGCTGGGCAGGGGGCCTGCTTCTCCCTCTCCCTCTGCCGCTCTCACTGCTTGTGCTCTCCTGCTTTCTGTCAAATAAATAAAATCTTAAAAAAAAAAGAAAGAAAGAAAGAAAAAAATCTTTCGTGCATACTGTATCAGCCCAAAAAAGTGACTTTATCTTTTCAAAAATGCCTTAATAATGATACAATAAAGTTAATTATCTCAAATGAAAACAAGGGGAAACAATCCAAAATTTATATAATGATTCAAATATTTTTCATTTCTGAAATATTTTTTAACTCTTTTTGTACAAAAGGCACAAACTGAATAATTGTGCCTAAACCATAAAGTCCTACTATATACAATCTAGAACACCCTCTTAGGTTCATCCCTAACACCAGCTTTAATCTTCATTCACTTTTAAAACTAGAGTTGAGACCCTTGAACAACATGGAGATTTGCTGCTTCTAATACTCAGGAAAACTATCAGCAAAGACCAATGTAGGTATCTGAGTACCCTTTCATGAAAAGCAATCTGTTCTGGCCCAATTTAATAATAAAACATAAAATGTTTAATAGCATTTAAAAAATAATGGCCTGGGAGGTAATGAAAAATAGTATACATCTAATGGTTTCACTATTTTCACCAAGACATGGGCATCAATGGTATATTCCATGTTGCACTGGGCAGTATGAGTATGAATACTAAAACCACTGAAGAACAGGATGACCATGAAAAAAAGTGGTTAGGTTTTTCTTTAAGATTTTTTTTTAAAAAAGATTTTATTTATTTGATAGAGAGAGACACAGTGAGAGAGGAAACACAAGCAGGGGGAGTGGGAGGGGGAGAAGCAGGCCTCCCGCAGAGCAGGGAGCCCGATGTGGGGCTCGATCCCAGGACCCCGGGATCATGACCTGAGCCCTAGGCAGACACTTAACAACTGAGCCACCCAAGCACCCCCCACCCTTTTTTAAGATTTTATTTATGAGAGAGAAAAAGAGCACGCACACACATGAGTTGGGGGGGAGGGAGAGGGAGAATCCCATGCAGACTCCATACTGAGCTCAACGTGGTGCTCAATCCCATGACCACAAGACCACCAGCCAAAACCAAGAGCTGGATGCTCAACTGACTGAGCTATCCAGACACCCGAAACATGGTTAATTTTTAAAAGATCATTTTAGATATATTTTACGTAAGTTTATCAGCAACCTCTTCAAGGATTTCTAAAACTATTCTTTTCTGGACGGGTATTCATGAAGAGTGTTTTAATGATGCACAGTCAAGAAAACTGGACCTCTGCTGAGGATCTCTCCTGTTCTGTGTTCCAGTAGGAATAAAAAGGGAAGCTCCAAAAGGTAATGCTTTGAGTGTAATATAATCAATTCTAACAAAATTCTATGGCCTTAAGATTTTTCTGTATTTCTCTGGGCACTGAAACTTTCTTAATAAAGCTATGAACCTTATAGTACAAAAAAGTTTAAAGACAACAAGGAAATTCTAATGTCAACCTCCTTTATAAGAGTGCACTACTGCCTACAGCCACCCTGTGATGCTGCGAGAGCACCTCGTACGTCTCCCTCCCCTCTCTCTCCCCCTCCTCTCTCTCTCCCTCCCCTCTCTCTCCCCCTCCTCTATCTCTCCTTCCTCTCTACCTCCTCTCTTACCAGCAACTCCAAGGACAGGCTCCATCATGACTGTTACCATCTCACGGAGACAATGCAAAATTAACAACAGCCTGCAGTGTCAGAAAAATGCCAGTCTTGTACAAAGATAAAAAACAAATCACAAATCATCTTTTTAAATTTTATATATATTTTTGATGGTTTTTGTTACCTCTTCTTTCAGTGCATGTTTCCTCTGTTCCAAACAGATCTCTTTCGCTCTCATCATCTGCAGAGTCTCCTTAGAAACTGCATACTGGAGTTTTTCCATACGTTCTGCAGCTGCTGCCCATGATGCTTTACCAAATTTCTTCTGATCTGCTCTCATTCGATCGTACACAGCTATTAATAATAATTTTGTAGAGACATTAAGACACAAGACAACTTGATACTAAAGAATTTCAAAGTTTTAGATCTCGCTGACCACACACATGATGATGAACAAATAAATCCTACTCCCTTAAGTTACCTCTTAGCAGCTCTAAAATATAACTCAACATATCTTAGATTCTATTATCTTCAATAAGAATCCTAAATAATCATCATCAGAAATAACTGTGTGAAATAAAAACTAAGTTGTCAGATTTTAAAACTTTTATTTCTTTTTAAAAGATTTTACTTATTGGGCGCCTGGGTGGCTCAGATGGTTAAGCGTCTGCCTTTGGCTCAGGTCATGGTCCCAGGGTCCTGGGATCGAGTCCCGCATCGGGCTCCCTGCTCCTTGGGAGCCTGCTTCTCCCTCTGCTTCTCTCTCTCTCTCTCCCCCTCTGTCGCTCATGAATAAATAAATAAAATCTTAAAAAAAAAAAAAGATTTTACTTATTTATTTGACAGACAGCACAAGCAGGGGGAGCGGCAGGCAGAGGGAGAGGGAGCAAACTCCCTGCTGAGCAATGAGCCCAATGTGGGGCTCGATCCCAGGACCCTGAGATCATGATCTGAGCCGAAGGCAGACGCTTAACCAACTGAGCCACCCAGGCATCCCTCAAAGGTTTTATACATACTTTATAAAGGGTTATACTTTTTCTTGGGTACATTAATTGAAATGAGAGTCCTAACTATTCAAGATTCTTTGAAATTATTTATTTAAATCCATGTGTTAATCTTATCATTCTGAGTTCCTCCAAAAATACTATAATCATCTGATGAAGGGAAAAAAATCCTAGATGTTAGCATGGAGCTTATTCTGAGGTTAGAGTTGGAGCAGTACAACCAAGTCCAGAGGAAAACACCCAACTTCCTCTCCCACACGCCCCAAAAAGGAAAAGAAAAAAGTAACTTTTTATTTGCCACAACAGAGCCCTATTTCAAGAGATACTTCTTGACAATCAAACAGCTAGTATCTTTTCCAGTTAAAGAAGCTCATCACTGAGATCCTGGGTCCTATACAATTAAACCAACCATCATTATGCCCAAGCGCTTTAACAGGTCAGAGACACACATCACAAAAAAGATAGCTATCTGGGGGCACCTGGGTGGCTCAGTCATTAAGCATCTGCCTTCGGCTCAGGTCATGATCCCAGGGTCCTGGGATCGAGGCCTGCATTGGGCTCCCTGCTCCACGGGAAGCCTGCTTCTCCTTCTCCCACTCTCCCTGCTTGTGTTCTTGCTCTCGCTCTCTCTCTCTCTGTCAAATAAATAAATAAAATATTAAAAAAAAAAAAAAGATAGCTATCTGTTTAGCACTGAACTAGTCCGGCTCTTTAAGTCACTACACATTCACTAGCAGTATCTTTTATATGTAGGTGATAATTCTACTATACTATACTACTACTATGTCCTAACCATCTTTTGCAATGAAGTATATCTCAGTAAATCTTTGTCTCTGAGTTTTGTGAAATCTTAAATTTTTTTTTACAATAATACATGTACATACCTAAAAATTAAAACTGTACAGGCAGGCTGCTGAAGAAAAAGAGCAGTTTCTCGGGCTCAGTTCTCCTCAACCCCTTAATCTCAATGCCCAGATGCAACCAACTTTTGCTTCTGGTGGTTACTTCCAAATAAAAATTGACTGTTTCTCAATTTATATAGACTTTAAAAACTATCTGTTGAGTTCCTATTATAACAGATGAGGCACTGTGCTGACTTAGATTCTCCTCTCAATATAGTTAAATAGGTTCTTTGGGTTTGTTTTTCTGTGGCCTTCAAGTGCTAACATAAAAGGTAATTTTTCAATGCATAATCTTGCTCTGAATCTCGATTTTAGGCTTTCTAACAAAATCTACTCACTGGTTGAATATCAAATGACTTTGCCATTTTAAAGTTCTACCTCTCTTTTAAACTGTATTACAGTATTTCTGCAACCATAAGATCAGTATATTAGTACAATGTAGGAAAACAAAAATCAAAGGATTTGGAGTGAAATAATAGTTAAATTCCCAATTCCACCTGTAACTGACATGTAACTTTTGGCAAGAAACTTCATTGTTCTGGGGCTCCATTCCCTTGCTTGTGAAAAAAGGACATAGAGTATCTAGTTCAAAAGCTTTTGTGGAAATTAAATGAGATAATGAGAGTTATTTCGTGTGTCTCTTCCACTTCCCATGGCACCATCACTCTCTTGCTCTCCACCTTACTGTCAGAAGTAGCTTCCTGTCCTAATTCAGTCTCATATTGTTACCTACCACAAGAGCTAATCCACTTTGTCTTCTAATACCTTGGCTAGAACATATTCTTACATCTCACTGTTACTCTCTTCAAGTGGAATTATTTTCCCCAACAGCTCAGAAATATGACAGTGACACAGAAAATTGTTTGTGAATGTAAAATACTTGGAATACCCTTGGGGTATCTCTAAAACAGATTCTTCTCTCCCTCTGCTGGCAAGAATAAAGATTCTTGCTAAGGCACCTTTCACATTTTGAGTAACAACTCTATAATAATAGTGTATGATGATCTGTATATGTAAAAAAAAAAAAAAAGCTGAGTGCAATATAGTTCTGGTGTTCAAAAAATATCATGTTCAATCTATTCTTAAAAAGCTTAATATGCTAACATATATACCTGTCAGAAATGAGCCTATTTAAGGGTTTTTTTTTTTTTAAGATTTTGTTTATTTATTTGAGAGAGAGAGAATGAGAGACAGAGAGCACGAGAGGGAAAAGGGTCAGAGGGAGAAGCAGACTCCCCGCTGAGCAGGGAGCCTGATGTGGGACTCGATCCCGGGACTCCAGGATCATGACCTGAGCCGAAGGCAGTTGCTTAACCAACTGAGCCACCCAGGCGCCCCCTATTTAAGATTTTTTAAAGTTAAGGAATAGGGGCAGCTGGGTGGTTCAGTCAGTTAAGTGTCTGCCTTCAGCTCAGGTCATGGTCCCGGGGTCCTGCGATCAAGCCTCACGTCGGGCTCCCTGCTCAGCGGGGAGCCTGCTTCTCCCTCTCTGCCTGCTGCTCCCCTGTTTGTGCTCTCTCTCTCTGTCAAATAAATAAATAAAATCTTAAAAAAAAAAAAAAAGCTAAGCAATAATAGGGGCGCCTGGGTGGCACAGTCAGTTACGCGTCTGACTCTTGGTTTCAGCCCAGGTAGTGATCTCAGGGTCATGAGATCCGGCCCCACATCCAGCTCTGTGCTCAGCACAGAGTCTGCTTGAGATTCTCTCTCCTTCTCCCTCTGCCCTTCCTGCTCATGCGCTCACTCCCTTCCTCCCTCCCTCTCTCTATCTCTCTCTAAAATAAATAATCTTTAAAATAAAAGCTAAGCAATAATATATCAAAATTAGGTTACATCTGGCTCAGTAAATGAAAAAAATATATAAAAGGGCGTCTTTTACTCTTCCTCTAAAAAAAGAAATCAGAAAGTTACCTTCTAGCTGGAAACATAAAGGAGAGCTATTACTATCAGCAGCATAAAGCGACAGAGAGTTCATTCTGTTTCCCTGACATGGAAGGAAGGAAACATACTCAGAAAAGGAAAATAAAGGAAAATTGAATGGCCAAGCAAATATCTCTGTTTGGGTTCAAAAGCTTCCTACTAGGATAAAGTCACCAGAAGTGAGATATAAAGAAGTCTACAGTAACTCTAATGAAGAATTTGGAACCCTATAATGATGCCTATCATACACAAAAATATTTTGCTTAAAATTGGAGAAGTATAAAGAGCAATCATCAAAATTATATAGAGCCAGAATTATGAACCATATATAAAAATATATACAGAATCACCGCAATTCTATAATAAGCCATAAATAGAAAAAAATTGACAGAAACACAAAGTGGTTGCATAGGCAGTAGGATTACAGATGTATGTAGGGTTTCCCCCCTCTAATATTCTAAATTTTCTATAATGGTTATGGTTATGTATTTCTAAATTTATTTATTTGAGAGAAAACAAGGGGAGGGGCAGAAAGAGAGGGAGAGAATCTTACACAGACTCCCACTGAACAAAGAGCCCAACATGGGGCTCGATCCCAGGAACCTGAGATCATGACCTGGGCCCAAATGAAGAGTCAGATGCTTAACCGACTGAACCACCCAGGCACCCCATAATGGTTATGTATTTTTAACCATAATGCAAACTTTAAAACATTAAAGAATGACCTGGAGAGCACAGAAAGCAGACTCTAAACCAAATAATTTACAGAAACCTATTTCATAAAAATAATTTACAGTAGGAAAAGACTTTTTTTTTTAAGATTTATTTATTTGAGAGAGAATGAGAGAGAGAAAGCACATGGCGGGGGAGGGTCAGAGGGAGAAGCAGACTCCCGGCTGAGCAGGGAGCCCGATACGGGACTTGATCCAGGGACTCCAGGATCATGACCTGAGCAGAAGGCAGTCGCTTAACCAACTGAGCCACCCACGCGCCCAGGAAAAGACATCTTTAAATGTTAAAAGGAACTACTACTAACAGTGTACTGTTTTTTAATTTATTTTTTAAAATTGTCATAATGCTCTAAGGCAAATACGCTCAAGTAGGACTGCTAGGTCAGACGGTAAGCACATCTTTAACTTACATAAGAAATTGCATTCAGGGGTGGATGGGTGGCTCAGTTAGTTAAGTGTCTGCGTTTGGCTCGGGTCATGATCTCAAGAGTCCTGGGATCAAGCCCCATGTCAAGCTCCCTGCTCAGCTCAGAGCTTTGGCTTCTCTCTCTCTCCCTCTGCCCTCTGCATGTGCTCTCTCTCTCACTCTATCTCCCTCAAATAAATAAAATCTTAAAAAAAAAAAGAAATTGCATTCATTTTCACGAGACTGTACAATTTTGCATTACCACCAGCAATACAGGGAGGGTTCTAGTTACTCTACAACCTTGTCTGCCCTTAATATTGTTAGTATTTTTTCTTTTAGCCATTCTAACAGGCATATGTTGCTAACTCATTGTAGTTTTAATGTGCATACTAATGACCGATGGTCTTGAACATCTTTTACAGTGCTAATTTGCAGAGTAAATGGCCATGTATTGTGAGTTTCTTATTCTCTATTCTATCCCATTGGTTCACATGTCTATCCCTTCCATAATACCATGCCACAATAGCTCTATAATTTGTAAAGTCAGGTAACGTGATTGTTTTTCTTTTTTTCTAAACTGTTTTTTAGGTATCTTAGTTCCTTTGCCCTTCCATGTAAAATTAGAATCAGCCTGTTTACGTTTATAGGAAAAAGTCCTGCTTTTTGGTAGGTACTGTGTTAAATCTATAGATCACTTTGGAGAAAACAGACATCATTACTATGTTGCACGTTCCAATACATGAACACAACATGTCTATCCACTTACTTAGGTTTGTAGTTTCTTCATCTTGTTAATCTAATCGTAAGCATTACAAATCCTGTACATGTTTTGTCAGACTTATTATAAATGGAATTTCTAAAAATTTTTCTATTTCCAACTATTCATTACTTATATAGATAAAGAGGATTCATTTTTGGGTACTGACCGTATTTCCTGTGACCCTGAGAAAGTCACTTGGTAGTTTTAAGTTTTTAAAAAATAGATTACATACAATTTTCAACCTAAACAATATTATCTAAGATGGGAATCAATTTATCTCTTCCTTTCCAACTATACGTTTTCTTTCTTTTTCTTGCCTTATTACAACTAAGATTTATTATGTTGAATAAGACGGGTTAAGAATAAACATCCTAGTCTTTTTACCTTAATTCTAGGGGGGAAGCATTCAGTCTTCCACCATCAAATGTGATATTGGCTATAGAGTTCTTGCAGATGTCCTTTATCAAATTTAAAGAAGTTCTTTTCTATTCCTAGTTTCCTGAGTGTTTTCATCACACACAGCACGTTGTATTTCATCAAATGCTTTTTCAGCATCTACTGATATGATTGACCATGAATTTTTTTTTTTTAAGAAGACTAAAGCTTTTCAAACTCAGCACTTTAGCTATTATCAGCCAGAAAATTCTTCGTCGTAGGGTGGATTGTCCTATGTAACACAGGATGTTTAACATAATCCATGGCCTCTACTGATACTAGTAACACTCTCAGTAGTTGCGACAACCAAAATGTCTCCAGAGACTGTTAAATGTCCTTTTGTGTGGCACAATCACCTTTAGTAAAAAACCACTGCTGTGGGCGCCTGGGTGGCTCAGTCCTTAAGCGTCTGCCTTCGGCTCAGGTCATGATCCCAGGGTCCTGGGACCGAGCCCCGCATTGGGCTCCCTGCTCCATGAGAAGCCTGCTTCTCCCTCGCCCACTCCCCCTGCTTGTGTTCCTTCTCTCGCTGTCTCTCTCTGTCAATTAAATAAATAAAATCTTTTTTTGAAGATTTTATTTATTTGAGAGAGAGTACATGAGAGGGAAGAGGGTCAGAGGGAGAAGCAGACTCCCTGCTGAGCAGGGAGCCCGATGCGGGACTCGATCCCGGGACTCGAGGATCACGACCTGAGCCGAAGGCAGTCGCTTAACCAACTGAGCCACCCAGACACCCCTAAATAAACAAAAATCTTAAAAAAAAGGGGGGGGGGCGCCTGGGTGGCTCAGATGGTTAAGCGTCTGCCTTCGGCTCAGGTCATGATCCCGGAGTCCTGGGATCGAGTCCCGCATCGGGCTCCCTGCTCCTTGGGAGCCTGCTTCTCCCTCTCTCTCTCTCCTCCTCTGTCTCTCATGAATAAATAAATAAAATCTAAAAAAAGAAAAAAAAAAAAGAAGAACTACATTAGTTTGAGAAGAAGTAATTCCTTAAAAAGGATTATAGTACTATCTTCGAGAAGAATAATTGACTAAACACCCAAAAAGTTATTGAATAATAATGAGGGGTTAATTGATAAGCTAGGTAATAAATTTCATTATGAAGCTATTATCATTAATCAAAGCATAAGAAAAGACTTATCATTGGAAAAGAGAGTCCGGAAAGAAACCCAAGTATATAAAAGAATTTTACTAGGTTTTAACTATTCGGAGGAATACAGAAACTAACTTTAGAAAATATAAGTAACAATTCAAAGATTTTTTAAAAATCATTCTTAAAAGCTCATAGTTTTTACAAGTAAAATTTGTAAAAGTTAAAATTTAGGAATAGGTATTTGCAAAAGATGTCCAAGTGTTAATATAACTATAATATAAATATAATAAAAATATCAACATATATAAGGAGCTTTTATTCAACAGAAAAAAATCCACCATACAAAAATAGGCAAAAGGTATTATAACTGGAAAGAAAGGATATGCAAATACCAATTATTACATAAAACACAAAAAGTACTCTGTAATAACCAAGGAAATGCAAAATTTAAAAACACGATACTAGTTTTCACCTATCAAACTCCCGTTTTTATTTTTTTAATGACGATGCCAAATGATGCTGAAGAATCAAAGGGAGCATTCTCCTTTAGCACACTGGCATTCTGAAGGAATAAACTGCTTCAAGTACAACTTTTAGGGAAATGTGGATTTCCTAAAGGAATAACCTGAATGCTAAACTGTGTTAATGCCAGGTAGATAACGAAAATAATGAATAGCAGTGATTTTAAACTGCGACTGAAGGATTTCCATGGTCACCTATGGAAGGAAGTTGGAAGGAATGGACCTTCAGAGACCTTGCCCATGAATCTCTTCATTTGGCTTGTCTTGATTTTTAGCATTTATAAACCGTAATCCTAAGTATGTGCTTTCCTGAGTTCTGTGAGTCATTGTAGCAAATGATCAAACCTAAAAAGGCTGTGTGAACCCCCAAATTTATCATCAGTTGGTGAGAAGTGCAGAAGGCCTGGGGACCCTCTAAATTTCCAAGTAGTGTCTTAAATGTGGGCAGTCTCAATGCGAACTGTGCCTTTAAGCTGTGGGGTCTGTAACAGGTTAGTGTCAGAACTGAATTATGCTACACTAACACCCAATTACTATTTTTTAAAGGTGGAGTATGTATAAACACATGCCCAGAAAAGACTGAAAGGATCTACTAAAATTTGCAAATAGTGATCTTTTTTAACCTCTAGGACTATGAGTAGTCTTTATACATTATTCCCCAGAACTCCTGCAAACATGAAATATTTAAACCACTCATTTTCAAAAACATCTAACAAGGATAACTTTACTAGGAAACTTACCTTTTTGTGCTTTCGCTGTTATTTCAAAGTATTTGACAGTAAGATCCTGAATAGACAGCACAGCCATGTGAGCTTTTCGCTGCCAATCAGCATCTTCTTTTTGTAGACTTTCAATTCTTCGGGGACCCAGATAATCATTCTCCATGGAAATCTTCAGAAAAAAAGAAAAATTAAGAAGCCCATTTCTTTCTTTCTTTATTCATTCCTTAAACATTTACTGAACGTTTAGTTATCAGGCAGGCATTGTGCCTTGTGCTAAAACAAAGAATACTTATTTTCTCTTGCTCTAGAGTACAAGCTATTAATTTACAAAACAAACAAATTAACAGTAACATTAAAGACATCTGACACAGAAATCTGTTCCCCATTCCTCTCTTCTTTTTCACCCTTCCCCTCCTTCACATATAAAAAAGGACATACAGCAAAATGTTAAGATGTTATTTTTGGGTGTTGAGATAACAAGAAATATATTTCCTCCTTTAAGATAATTATATTTTCAGGTTAAGAATTATTTGTGCCACTAAATACTTATTTTATAACTGGACATAAATAATTGAAAACTCAGATTTTTAAGACTGATAATTTATAAAAACCAGCCCGTCTATTTACTAAAGATCTCTGGACAAAAGTAAAAGACAAAAATTAAATATCATTTGCAAGAGTTACAAACAGAACAAAAGAGAGTTGAAAATCAAATGATGGACAGAGATGTACCAGCTGAATGCTAAAGTAAAATTCACAGAAGTGACAGTATTAATATAAAAGTATACAAAATCACTACACAGGTATGTTTAACACGGAAGAAAGGTGAAATCCACCAAGACTAGCAATGGACCCTTTGTGCACTCTATCCTGCTTTATCATATAGTGAGAAAAGACTGCCTAAAAATTAAATGAGAAGTTAACATCTTATTAGAATGATGAAAAAAACAAACAAACCAGAGAAAGGTATTAACTCATCCCTGGCATATTTTTGAAAAACTAATCAACTATCATGAGCCACCAAAAAAGTTGTAAAACGAATTTCAGAACTAGAAATACAGGCTGTATTCGCTAAATGGTGCAATAAACAAATTAAAAGAACAGCCTGAACCCAAAATAAAATTTTAATCACCAGGAGCCCTTTCTTGCCCCCGCGGAGGCTTTCCAGAAGGGGCCTGCGCAGGGGACTTGGCGCTGAAGTGGCCGAGCTGTCGGGAAGGGCCTGAGTGGGCGCTTTGAGGACCCAAGATTGTCTAAAGCCACAGGGAAAATGGTGGAAAATTCACTGTCGCCATTGCCAGAAAGAGCGATTTATGGCTTTTTTCTTTTCTCAAGCTCCCAATTTGGCTTCATCCTGTATCTTGTGTGGGCATTTATTCCTGAATCTTGGCTAAACTCCTTAGGATTAACCTATTGGCCTCAAAAATACTGGGCAGTTGCATTGCCCATCTACTTCCTCATCACTAGAGTAACTGGTTACGTACTCTTACTTGGAATAAACATGATGAGTACCTCTCCACTCAACTCCATTCATACAATCACAGATAACTATGCTAAAAATCAACAGCAAAAGAAATACCAAGAAGAGGCCATCCCAGCTTTAAGAGATATTCCTATTAGTGAAGTAAACCAAATGTTCTTCCTGGAAACTAAATAACTTTATGCCAAAAACTAAATTGTATGTAGACTAACACCAAGCATTTACTGTAATTTTTTATATAATAATTTTGGCCATAATTATTTTGACTCTCTCTCGTACCCAATATTGAAATGTAAACAAGTTGATTCTTTTATTTTTTTTTTTTAAGATTTTATTTATTTATTTGAGAGAGAGAATGAGAGACAGAGAGCATGAGAGGGAGGAGGGTGAGAAGGAGAAGCAGACTCTCTGCTGAGCAGGGAGCCCGATGTGGGACTCGATCCTGGGACTCCAGGATCATGACCTGAGCCGAAGGCAGTCGCTTAACCAACTGAGCCACCCAGGCGCCCCCAAGTTGATTCTTTTAGATTAAGTTATATTAATATTATAAAAGTTCCTGAGTATTAGTTATTAAGAGAATAAATAAAATACTGCATTACCATATTTAAAAAAATTTTAATCACCAGGAAATGTAACCTAAGGAAGATAATATTTGGTTTTAATCTTGAAAAAACAATATACTGCTCCTTAAGCAAATGAAGAGGCTTCCAGATAGAGGGGGAAATATATGCAAGAGCACTTAGTACAGAACCCAGCACACAATGAGCAATTTATAATAAGCAGTGTTATGAATGGACAATAGCAAGGCATAAGGAGGGATCAAGAATGACTAGAGGGGAACCTGGGTGGCTCAGCAGGTTAAGCATCTGACTTCAGCTCAGGTCATGACCGGAGGGTCCTGGGATACAGCCTCACATGGGGCTCCACGCTTAGTGGGGAATCTGCTTCTCCCTCTCCCCCTCCCCCTGCTTGTGTGTATGTGTGCACTCTAATAAAAAAGAATGACTAGAAAAAATCTGGGGGTGCCTGGCTGGCTCAGTTGATGGAGCATGAGATTCTTCATCTCCGGGTTGGAAGTTCAAGCCCCACATCGGGTGTAGAGATTACTTAAAAAAAATATACAAAATCTTAAAAAAAAAAAAAAATCTGTATATAGAACTGCCATTTCCTCAAAAAGTAAACAATGAAGGAGTTGCTGGTTTCAAAGGGGCGAGGATCAAGGATTTCATTTTATATACGTTAAGTTTGATTTTGCAAAGGTCATGGCTAGAGATATAAATTTAGGTAGCCTTGACATACAGATGACATTTACAGCCATCAGAGTGAAAGAGGTTATCTAAGGAAGTCATGAGAAAAAGGCTCATGATTGAGCCCTAAGGAATTCTGACTGTGAAGCTGGGTCAACAGCCTACAGAAAAAAGCCAGAGGAAGTGGGGACACCAGGCCAGTGTGGAATCACATAAGGAGCAAGATTCAAAGGAGGAGAAACTGACCCTGTCCAACACTGCTTGTTGGATGTAGGATGACACCTGGTACCCACAGATCTAACAGTATTAACATCACTGAACTTAGCAACAATTTAGTTCTAGAGTATAAGCAAATTTCCTTTGCCTATGAACTCCCATGACATCTTCAGATCTCAGTTCAATTACTAGATCATGAAAGTCTTCCCAACTTCCCATTATAACCTCTTCAGTGCAACACATGTAACTTTCCTTCAAAGCACTTACCATAATCATACTTTATAAGATTTCGTGACCTTTAACTATTAACTGCTTCTCCCTTTGAAAGTTCTATGAGGGCAGAGAATGCACAGGCTTTTTTTGAGTGTGTGGTTTGTTGTTTTCTTTTGGTTTTTATTTTTCTGCTTCTCACTAGCATACTGCCTGGCATGAAATAGGCAATCTAAAATATTTCCTAAATGAGTAAGTAAATTAAAAATGCACTCTGCACCTGTTTTTAATGAGAGAGATGTAGACATGTGTATAAATAAATACTCTCTTGAGAGATCTGAGTGAATAGAGGAAAAAAGGGTAGTGCTAAGAGAGGACAAAGCTTAAGGGTAAGCCTTTTGCTTTTGGTTTTATTTTAATGGGAGATCATGGAACAGGCTGAGAAGTGATAAGCAGTATCTAGCAAAGGGAAAACATAAAGATGCCAGGGGAAAATGGGGCTAATTATAGTAGAAAGGTCCTTAAGAACAACATGGGAAGGAACAGGATTCAGAGTACTGGTATAGGGGATTTGCTCTTGGTAAATGTAGGGAAAGTTCTTCCGTGAGCATAAAGAAAGTGAAGTTTTGGATTTGTAGAAGGATGAGGGGAATTTCTCTTTGATGATCTCCATTTTCCCCTGTGAAAAAAAGAGTCCAGATAAGAAAAGGTTGGTACAGGAGAATGGAGAAGACACAAAATAGCTGTTTTTAGATAGCAGGATGACAAACCATTCAGAAAAACTCATGAAGCAAATATTCTTTTAAAAAGAAACCAGGGTTACTGTGGTCATGGTAAAACAGGCACAAACTCATATACTGCTGTTAGAACTATAAATTGATGAAAACCTTTTCTGGCAATGATTTTATGATACCACATTCTTTTCTTAAATACCTATTTTCTTACCTATTTAAGAAAAATAACCAAAGATGTTCACTACAATGCTGTTTGAAATAAAAGAAAAACTGTCTCACAAATATCTAATAGAGAATATTATAGATGATACACCTATAAAACACAATTCTATGCAAAAATGTTTATGAGGTTTCCAGTAAGAAAGGAAAATGATTGTTATAATAGTAAGTAAAGACAGATCAAATCATAGACATAACTACATAATGTCCAGAAAAAAAGGAAAAAATATGTAGAATGTATTACTGAGGTCATTAGATTATGGGTGACTATTTTTCTTTTCTGTTTAAAATCTGTACTTTCCAAATCTTCTTTATTGTGTATGTATTGCTTTTATAATCATGAACAAAAAAAATGCTTTATCTCTTCTTTGGTTCACAAACCGTACCAACCGGACAAGATGAAGACACATTATCCCAGAGGTTTCCTGTTTCTAGTTAAGCAAACAATGATCTCCTGTTTCCATATAGGAGGACCAGCAAGAGGCAAAATTATGAGACTTACTTTTTTTTTCCAGTGTGCGTGGGAGGGAGGGGAAGTGGAGATATGATCAGAACCTAAATGTCTTCCTTAATAGTTGAAAAACAGAATTATGTGAGCTCCATTTCTGGGACTACAAAAATAGTGCCAAGTAAGGACAATTAAGTCAGTAGGAGAAGCTTAGATTCTTGGTATCAGATTCCCTACTTACCAAGATTGGAATTTTTTAATTCTCAGAAGATAATTACTATATCTCCAGTCACATACTGCAGGAGTCAAACTTACATGATGCTACTGGATATGGTTGTTTTCTTTCTCCCTTTTAGACTTTACCATGGGTAATATTTGGAATCATTCAATTATATATTTTGAACAAAGAGCCCATTGTACTGGGTGCTTCAGGGGATGTAACATAAGATACACATTCTCCTTCTAAAAAACTTACAGTCTAATTGGAGGGTGGGGTAAGCAAAGATATCTGTGCTGCAGAAATCTGTCTTCAAATTAGGAGACCTGGCCGTGCTACGTAGTAACTATGAGAGCTTTGTTTGACACAATCACTTAACATTCGATTATTCACTCAAA